GGCACATACGAAGTTTTTTTGTAAAGATAATTGCCGTAAATCTTCGCCGAGCGGCCGAGTCCATTGAAAGCTCCATGCGGCACGCACGGCACTGGTGTTGGGGAAAACGCAGATATCAAAGACACCCGCGACCGCAGAAACTTCGTGTCAAAAGCCAGTTTTCCTTTATTTCATACACATATGGAGTTTAATTTTCAGTTCACATTTTAGTAATGTAGCGATCGGAAAATATTTTATTCATCACAAGGCTCATAACGGTCGTAGCCCGACGTGGGGTGGTGTTACGGCCGTGGTGCTTAGCGGGTTACGGCCAGCCGCGACCGCTATCGGCGGTGTTGACATGCCGGCGGGAACGGAATGGGGTGACCGCTGACCGCGTTGAACAGTGACCGCTATAGACACGATTCTTAATGCTTACGTCAATGGGAAAAATTCAAGGGACCGGCAAAAACTGACCGCTATGACCGAGTGACCACTATACAAAGGTGACCGCTAGTACAGGTTTGACTGTAGATGGTACTTGTGAAGTGTAGTCAGTTTGAATCACAATGTTACTAATGTTCTGAACACATGAACTTACACCCTACTGGAACAAGGTTTGCTTGAAGTCCTTAGATAGAAACTTGAAGGACAATGCACCTGTATGTTGACATCACACAGCTGTCCCTCCAGGCGCTGTATGTTGAGCGACTGCAGCAGGTGGGCTCCCAGGTGCGAGGTTGCAGCTGGAACACCTGTATCCATGGTTACAACCTGTGTCTCCAGTCTGAATGAAAATGAATGAAAGATAAGTTACAACTTAAGAGCAATTTTAAGAATTATTTGAAGTTAAGGCCACGCCAATTTATTTTATATGAACAATGTTTCTCGGATTCGTTCTAAATCAACTGCAAAATATAGTAATAAAAGACATACTTTGGCGGTTGAAGAAAGTCCTTTTTAAGTTTTTCAATGTAACAATGCAACTTTGTTTCATTTAAAGTTCAAAATATATTGTTTTAATTATAAACCAGCCTGGTATGTTGACTTCATAGCTCATATTGTAACATTTCCAGCTATCACGGGGTGCCTTGGCCTGTTTTTTTTTATTTTTTTATTTCGCCCTGTCGCTTCATATTTTTTCTGAAAAAATCCGAGAAGCAACAAGTTAAATTGGTGTGGCCTAAGCGTACAGGGAAATATTTGAGAAAAATATGATCCTTACTACTAGTAATATGTCTGTGTTTCTGGACAGGGTGATGTCTGTTATCTCCTTGATCATATATTTTACATGTTTTCTCTTTCTAGACTAGCATATATGCATTATAAAAAGTGCACAACAGCATGTAATTTTTTTGTAATGCGTAATGTGCCCTGTAACGGTAAACCATATATAATAAATGTGCACCTGATAATCCAAATAAAGAATTGTATTTTGAATATGCATCACTACCCAATAGCAGTAATTTTAATCAAAATTCCTTACAAATTATTTTGAAAATAAACAAAAATATTTGGTGTACCTAGAAAAAATTACTCCCCTTAAAATTACTTCTTCGAGATGCCCTTTTGATTTACAAGTGCAAATGCATGTATTGGAATGTAACGTTACTGTAGACCTGGTTATCAGCAAATTATGACATTCCAACTTGACCTTCACTTGTGCTTAGTAACAACTTTTCCCTGCTGTTCCTTCCTCTTATTTTTTGACGTCTAAGAAAATCAACAATGAGAGTGGAAAACATTTTCAAAACATCACACACATGTAACTGTTAACTGTTAGCTATACAAGGTTGCATAATTTTTTCCAAAGGCTGGTGAATTTTAGACATCCATGTAAACAATTACACAATTTATTTAACACTTCACATCCCAAGTTGCCTATTTCTTCCCATAATAATGTAAAGATTTGTTTCTAGGAAACCCACTAAAACCGCAGCTAACATGTACAACATGCAGAGTTGTTTACAGAAGTCCGTTAGTCAGCTGTGACCTATGTGGTCTCTCCGTCCTGACTGCTGAGATTCTCACCAGGCAGCCATCTTGCCACTCCAAACGGATGATAAGGGGTCTTTTTTCCAGCGAAAATCAAACTTACCTGCTTCCTAGCAAAAAACGGACCGGAAAATCTCCACCGGAGCAGTTTCACCGGAAATTCTGGATATTTTTCCGGAGTTTTCCGTTGACTGCGGCCGAAATATTTACGGAAAAACACCTAAAATGTAACAACAATCGGGCGGGAAAGACAATATAGCTACATTTGCATGATGGGAAGGACTCGTCCATTAGGTATTAAGGGATGGAAGTAGCTATAATAAATTATAATTCATATATCTAAATTTAAAAAGATCAAATCATATAATGATAGACATAATACATTTTGTGAACTAATAATCAAGTTTTTGTTCATATTTCATTTAATGTTTATCTAAGAGCTTTCATCCCTATGGATAAGTGGAATAGTCCACGAAAGGCATAGTGGGAAAATGGGAAAATCTAACATTTGAGATCTACAGTTATGACAAATGAATTTTATGCCTTTTTATCGTTTTACGTACTTTAGTTGACACTTTGTAAGCGCAGGTACAATCAGAAGAGATGGACACCACCATGAGTGAAGGCTTTATAAGGAGAGTTCGTCAGTTTTTGCCGAAAAGTCGAGGAGACAAGGTTGGTTTTCAACGACCTGTAGCACGCGTGTACTCCAAAACAAACCAACATGGCCAGTTGCTATACATGCTGTCGTTTAATAGATAAAGTATAGAATTGTAATTAAAAGGAACTTTTGCCTGATCCTTCAATCAAATTATGCATTGAATGCAGACGTTTTGGTTTCCATTTTACTTTCGGGAGTGAGACGGAAGTATTGTTTTTGGTGGCACTGGTTCAGAAGGTTTGTATGTATGTCATGAGTAGAAATGATTGGTATTGAGTGGGCAGAGATTTGGTTTCAGTTGATTGACAGGTTTGTGCCCTGGTATGCCATGTAGGTGGTAGAATTTGGTATGAGCTCACCAGGACATGGTACCTGTATGAAACATAAACTATGGTGTAAAATAACAGTAATACTAATTATAATAATAATAATAGCTAATGTCATACTGGTCATCATATGAGTAATAATTCAAATTCTATGATTACTTTCTATGATTTTTTGTTCCCAGGTGGCGTTTGCCTTCCTAGTGGTCTGCATTCACCTCATCTTCTACTTCGAGCAGTTCCGAGTTCTCCCAGAGATCTACCACCAGCCCTGTCTGGCGAGCTACCTCCACACAGCCTTCATGGTGTTTGTGTACATCAACACGGTCAGACATTCTCTGTAATTATAACATGGGTCCAGTTTGCTTTAGATAGATGTAAGACTAAGAGAACAGTAACTTATTGAGTTTAACGGTATGTTATACAAATGTGCATTCAATAATATGATAAAATACTTTTTGCCTCAAATAAGAGAATTGAGATAAAAGGCAACGTTACCCCCGAGACCGAATCCTTTCAAGAAATTTTCAATTCTGTACATACATGTACATCATCACATACATCTACTATCCTCGGTCTTCATTTTTTCTCTATATTTTTCTTCTGTTACAGCTTTATTCTAGAGCCAAATTTGCATTTTTAACTGAAGATTTATGAAGAGTCTCCCCTCCAAAAGACCCCTATGCTGGTTGAAAAGAATGTAGGGGGCTGAATGACAGCATAGGGAGCCCCTACACTAAAATAACCTAGTGAGAACTATGAGATCCCATAGCCTCCATAGCATGCCAAAAACTGGGGGTTTTGGGGGACTTCATGGTCTTTTGATATTTTATGTGCTATTTTCTGATTGCATATACTAGACAACATAGCCGGCGTGGTTGAATTACCCCCGTTTTTTAGAACTGGGCTAATCAGAAAACAGCCAAAGACCACCAAACCCCCAGTTCTATAAGCCTGCTATGGAGGCTAGAGATCCCATATGTTGTACCTTGTACAATTATTGTTGTGGAATAGCTTGCCTTCTATAAATTGTGTTCTTTCTGTCCTGCCAGGTTGGGAACCTGTTCATGATGATGAATGTTGACACCACCACCGGTAGCCATGTCCTGCCCAGCGTGTTGAAGCCAGGCTGGCACTTCTGTGCCTCCTGCGAGGCCAACTCCCCGCCGCGCTCCTTCCACTGCTGGGAGTGCAGCACGTGCGTCCTGAAGCGCATCCACCACTGTACCTTCACGGGAAACTGCGCGGCGTGGGCCAATGAGCGCTACTACATGGTGTTCCTGCTCTACATGAGCGTTGGGGCCGTGTACACAAACGTCATGAACTTTGACTACGTGTGGGACGTTATGGGGGGGCTGAATATGAAATCCTTCCTGACAATGCTTGCTCCTTTGGTAATGTGGCTCGCGGGGGCGGCCAAAGCGCACACTTTCTTTGTATCGCTGATGTCTATGATCTGTCTGATAGGGGGCGCTTTTTCCCTCATATTGTTCTATTTCCACACCAAGCTGACCCTCATGAACAGGACTGTGTTCGAGTTCAATAAGAGGATCGGAGATTACGACCTGGGGTGGCGGCAGAACTTGGAACAGGCCTTTGGCACTCGGTGGCCATGGGTGTGGCTGTTTCCCCTGCTGCCGTCCCCCCTGCCGGGGAATGGTTTGGAGTTCCCTGTCAGTAGTGATGTTTCAGAGGCAGTCAAGGATATGTGAGGCACACTCAGTTTCTGAAGCTTTATTTCTGTATTTTCTACAGTCTACATTGAAATTTCAATAGAGCATGTAAAAATTTTACTTGGGTGCCAGACCCTGGCATTGTATAAGTGATTGCTTTTTTGGTGGTCCAATGGCCACAGACCACTAGAATTTAGGCTGGGACAACTAAAAAGACATTTTGTGACATTTTTAGGACAATAGAAAAATAAACAACGTCAGAATATCAGCTCTTCTTTTGTTTATCAGGCACACATCCCGGCTTTTGGGTCCGGAAAAGTCCCCCCCAAATTTCCTGTCTACTCTGCAATTATAGTGTGCCTGGGAGTCAATATAAGCAAAATAAAGTTGACTTCAAGTTGAAGTCATACAATACTTTCCAAAAAACAGGTTGGGACAGTTCATCCTCACTTCGGGACAATTGACATTTATCTCTGGGACAGTGCTGGGACAATAGGAGGAAAATTTAATTTTGAGGCCTGTTGGGGTTAGCAGGGGAGATGGTTTCTGTGGCCAAAGGAGATTATCACTCTCTCGCGATAGGGTCTGGCACCCAGGCTAGTAAAAATTCTTGGAGTAAGACTTTTCCAGTGTGCCTCAGTAATGTATAGTAGGGAAATCCAAGCAGCCATTGAACTACGGTAAATGCATTTACCTTCATGGTGGAAAGAATTGTGCAGTACAGTTAAACTATGAAAAACATCTTTGCAGTAAGAGGTCACATACCAGTGATACCACTGCACAAGTTTCAGTATCTACAGTATTTGCTCAATGAGAGTGTTTGCACTAGACTTAGTTGCCAAGATACATTTAGTGAATCATGGTGGAGCACTAATGTACATTCTGTGGAAGATTCACTACTTACAAGATATATATATTTAGAGTTACAAGTGCCATGGTGATTTAGAAATAACAGTTTAGACAATCAAGGGGCCAAGTATAACAATGGCTATTGTTCTGAACAAGTTCAACAATGGCCTTTGTTCTGTGCAATTCCATGTAGCAATTACAGTTGGATTACTTGTTGGTCATCACAATTGTCAATTTATTGATAGTAGTGTTAAAATGGCCATGTGGCTAGATTGGTGCACACAAGATCAAAATATCATAGGTTTAATTCCTGCCAAGACATTGTGTCCTTGGGAAAGACATTTTACACAAATTTTCTTACTGAACTCAGATGTAAAATGTAACCTACTGCCCCTACGGCATCAAAAAGGCTATGGGAGTCTACCTTTAAGTTTACATATCAACTACAAACAGACAAAAATCCATGAAACTGAAATACTGAACACCCAAATTGCTTCATCTCGTGAAATAAAGCATTCGTGAACATAACTGGACTTACAGTATATTATATGTGAATTCACTGTGGACAATGCATTTACATGTATTCTCTTGCCATCTTTAACATATCATCTTAGAAGTTCAGGTAGGAATAAAGTGCCTCATCTGACAAAGGTTGTCTGAACATGTCAATATTTCTCTAATACTACTGGGTCTTGTACATCTTTCAAAAGAGTTTTTTAAGCACATGAAGTTAAAATTACGTTAAAATGTGACAGAAGAAAGAAATTGAATTCACGAGTAGATAGGTTTCTTTTACGTCATGCTAACAAAAAGACACGCATAAACGTATTCTTTTCTTGTACATAGATACAATGTGGAATTCTTCCGATTTGAACGTCATATGATATGCGACCTAACTTCCTATGTACGTCATATACAACGTCGCTCCTTCCTACTGACATTTCAAATACGGAACCACAAAGTGAATTCATAAATATACATGACATGCTCGTAAGAAAATTCAAACTCTACTACTGGATCAGTTAACGGATTTATTTCCGGACGTTTCGAGTGACATCCATCACTCTTCTTCAGCGTCACAAATGAACAGAGAACCGATTCACTCTTATATACAAGTAACTAGAAAAACCGGTTAAACAACAAGGTCCATAAGAAGCTTTATCATGTAAAAGAACGGTTCACTCAATGTACAGGAATTAGAACTAGAAAAACCTGTTCAACAACCGTAAGAGTCTTTGTCATGTAAGGAAGGTTCCTATGGTAAGAATTACCATAGGAAAAGTTACTGTCCCTTGGGCTGTGGCAGGGCGGGATCCCATGTGCTTGAGAGTTCAATGCGCAGTCCCCCCTTCCTGTTCAGGGTGGGGTTGTAAATGCGCTCATAGATGGCCTCCTTCACTCCGCGCTCGTACCAACGTATACATGACATGTATACTTTCTTAGTCAACCATTGAACCGCGACGGGGGCCGACATCGTCTACCAGATAAGTTGACCCAGTGTTGACGTCACACTTCAAAGAAGCCACGTGACAAGCTTCACTGGGTCAGTCTACTGAGGAAGACCAGAGTGACTGGTCGAAAGCTCTAGGTGAGAGAATTTTTTGTGTTGGACCAAAATTTTTAACTTTAAACATAGTATATATACATACTTCTATCCACAGTGTACGTAAAAGGGACGTATATAAAAACAATCATATCCAGATCCTCCAAATAACAGAGGTACTTTTCACATCTCCGTCTTACAGCAGAGTTTCTAACAGTGGATACCACCTGTTCATTAACAGCATTCTTCCATGTAGCTAACCTTATTAGCCTGGAGCACATGGGATATGTCATTCTTCATTTCTGTTCAAGTTGCACATTTGAAAACTTTTCAGCAAAAATATCTACTTATACATAATTTTCCGAAGATTTTACTTAATTAGGACATGAAAATGACATTGTAAAATCATATGGCATAGTATAGTGACGGAGAAGAGATATCTTGTAATAGTTTGCATGTGGAAAAGAATTGCGTCACTTCTTCTTTCATTCGGCCAGTCTTTCCCTCCTGATATCTGCTTGGTTTCAGTCATATGGTAATGTCTCCCACAGCCAACCACTTAGCAAAAATGGCTTGTCCTGCTCTGTACAGGCCTGGATCTGCGTGGAAAAGTTTCCTGATCTCTGTGGAACCGACTAAACAACGCAGCATGATCCCTGCCTGTCAGACTGTGACCGCGTGTGCAACTTAGAATTACAAGTAGGTGGTCGGGGTTAGCCTCAATAGCATGTCAAAAACTGTTTTTTGGGGGGGTCTTCAGGGTCTTTGGGAGCTTTTATGTGCTATTTTCTGATTGCATATAGACAACATAGCCGGTCTGGTTGACGTTGAATTACCCCTGTTTTTAGAACTCAGGCTAATCAGAAAACAGTCGAAGACCACCAAACCCCCAGTTCTGTAAGCCTGCTACGGAGGCTAGTCGGGGTGACTTAAGAGTTGTTTGGCTGGCTACATTACACAACAGAGCGGATGGCATTTGTAATTAGATCAGACTTTCAAACAGATCTGCGTGTAAAGACTTCCTTCCCCTCTAAACAAACGCGGAGGACTGCCGATCGATTCTGTATCGGTTCTCAGATTTTTGAGGAACTAGATAGCGGCATGGCAGGTTTGTTTGCGAATAGAACAAGCCAGGCGTATCGCTGTGTAGGTTAGAGGTGACGAGGGGAAGTAGTATTATGAACTTGAGGAAGTTGTCTGACGGGTCTTCATGCCTCAGTCGCCGTTTGGAATACTGTCTTCACCGGGGAAATGGGCGAATGGGAGAAGACACTGGAGCTTTGGTCCTTACTCCCACCTGATGTGCCTACAAGACAGGTCAGTTCTATATAATCAGTTCTTTGATTGTTATTCTAACAGCGCTAGCGTTCACACTGTATACATGTACCTGGCGACTGTGGCAGTGCTTTATCCAGCACCACTGTGCTCTGGCACGTTTCTGGATAGTCCAGATGTTGTTTCTAGATAGAACCGTGGTTTAGCCATACCATGCTCGTCATGCACGGTTCTGGATAGCCCAGGCGTATCCAGAACCGTGCCTGAAGTAAATCTACGTTCTTGGATACGCGGAGACTATATCCAGAACCGCGTGCGTGCCTAATCCTAACCCTAACACACCAGGCATTATAAGTACACGTACATATGCACTATTCTAGATACAACTAAGACTTCTCTGACCAAGTTGGCTCTCGATGTCTACTTCCTTACTGCACTTGTACTAAAACATACGTTCTACATACAGTTTGTGTGCGTTTTGGCGCCAAAAAGGCCATACGATTCCTGTGTAGAAAAGTCCGTCATGTGTGACATTTCTACTTGTATGTCATTTCTCAGGAGCCCGTGGGTTCATGATCAGCTCATTGTTGTTGCCAAACTGACAGCCCTCGTAAACCTGTGTGTTGTTGATGGTGGTCACATTCTTGATGACTTGCCGAGGGCCGTCAAGACCTGTAAAAAGAAATAAGAGATTTCATACTTCCAAGAAATAGATATGATTTGTGTCAGTGAGTTACGCCACCTATATTAAGATTGTATTAACATACTCCGCTATTACACCATGGTTCATATTTCATACTAGTACCATGATTATACAGTACACATTCCTGGGGATCACAACCTACGACACATGGCTTACTGGGTCACAACACTGTCAATCAACTGAAACTAAATCTCCGTCCACCCACTTCCATACGCCTTCATGACTTAACTTACTAGTATTCGACTATTTTACCATTCATTATTACTCTGGAAATTCAAACATACAAACCCCTTCTAAACCACCTCCACCCAAACAATATACTTCCGTCCCAGAGGCGAGCATGGAAGGATTTACAGTAAAATCAACACAAGAAGAATGAGGTGAAAGTTCATCAAAATTAGACGAACCTGAGACGTGGACGTCACACTCTTGTGGAGGCAGAACCAGTGCTGTGTTCACCTGCCCGTGGTCGGCGATGGGGCACCTCACAGTTCCAATGTCAATCGCGTGGGGGCGCTTCATCACTGTCCCAGGGAAACGGTGTGGTTCCTCTACTCCTGCCCTCAAGCAGTGGTGGCAGGTCACGTAAAACTCGGAAACTGAAAGTGCAATCAAAACAGAGTTGAATTCTTCATACGATTTCGGTCGAAAGAGAAAATGTTGGGTGCTTTACAAGATATTACTCTCCCCCGCTCTCATAATGGTTTCGCCTTTAGTAATTGAATCAACAGGTGGGATGAACGAACCGACAGCGGGATACTCCGTCATCAACAGTTCTAACTCGTGATGGACCTGCAGTACCGCCGCCCAGAGGTCGGGGGCGTCCTCGGCTTGCCCCCGGGTTGCCATGGTGATGTGGTCGTGGCTCGTCTGCTTGTCCCCCCTGTGCTGCAAGTGGACTAGTCTTGTCCCGTTGCTGCCCAGAACCTGGTCAGCTCGGTCCCACCTGATGACAAGATATGCAAATTAGCAATGATTTTGGGCAGAGAAGACAATACTACAGTTGAGAAATCTCGTGTCTTGTGACCCGCGAACATTTGGACCTAGGGATCAAGAAATTCTTCTATAAAAAAATAGCTAGGCTATAAAGCTAGCCTGGGCCAAGATGTATGACTAAAATAATTGTTCACCTTGGTGACTTGAGTTTGACTAAGGCTAAAGTGCTTGGAATTAATTTTCGTTTACGTGTGTCACGTCTAGTTCCATTCGGAAACACAACATTGTTTTCCAAGGCCTTATCCTAGGCCTAAGCAAGAAGTTTTAAATACTAGTATATTTGTATTTATTAAATACAAGTATACTTATGTTTACCGAAGGAAAACATATTGTTTTTGCTCAGTTTTCCCTTCCTCTTCTTCTCCAAACACTAACCTCTGACCTGGCCAATGACCTGATTTGTTGACGTCTGTCACCATGGTAACTTGTATTGGCTTACATAATGTTGCAATCGTATAGTAGGAGGGATTTAGACTCCATACATATGAATGTGTTTGAGTAAGAATTAACAGAGCAGACCATGTTTGAAGGTAAACATTATGCATTAATTTTGCTTTGCAAATGTTACTTTTCTAGTTGTATTTAAAACTTCTTGGCCTAAGGTACAACAAATCAAGGAAACTGATCCTAGTGTTGTTTGTTTGGCAGTTATAATAGTGTGAGAAATTTCAATGTCCATACCTGTACTGGAGGAACTTGTGTGCGTTACTACACAGTCTCTGGAACAGTCCTGTAGGGAAGGACCCGAGTACGCGGCAGCCGATCTGTAGTTCCTCCACCCCCTCCGGCACTTCCTCACACCAGGTGTTGTAGTCCACAGTGGTAGAGGGGCGGGGGAACCGGTACCACTCTGTCGGGCGGTCTAGAGACGTAGGAGAGAAATCTATTAGAGTGTCGAGCCTGAGAGAATATGGGTTCCCCCCTGGGGCGTTACCAAAATTGTAGACGGATAGATGCCTTGAACATTTTTTCGGACAGGTGTAATCATGTTTAGTCACAAAGATGAACACTGTCAACCAGAGGAACAGCTAACCTGTTGGCGATCGGCTATAGCATGATAGATTGTGTTCACCCAGGGAAATTGTGTTACATGTGTTGGTGTGATATTTATCCGATAGGATCCTATAGACCGATCTCATAGCCCCGCCCACCTCCACCAAGATGTAGAAATCCAAATAGTCGATGGGTATACATCCACTCTCTTATTGGTTGAACCGCTAATTGAAATTCTCTCATTGGTCGAACCACTAGTTGAGATTCTCTGATTGGTTGTACTGCTAATAGTGATGCACAGTGGGAATGAGACGAACCTATAGTGTCGGACATTTCTTCGGTACCCAGCCTGTGGCACAGCCCGAACTTCTCCACAAGTGACAGCACGGCGTGCACCTCTGCCTCGGTACGCACATGCTCTCTCAACATCACCTACGGTGTAAAAAAAGAGAAAAATATAGGTTAACTTTCAAAACAAGCCATAGCCATCTCTCGTGGATGTGTTTCCTTACTTCGGAAGTTTAACAATACATAAATATAGAGTCAACTGGATATCCATTTGGTAACATTGGACAAAGTGAAAATCTCGGACACGGAACCAGGCTTTTTTCCAAGAGGAATTTTAAAAAAAGCCATCTATATCAGGAGATTACAACTGGGACGGGGGACGCTACAAACATTCTGCTACCTAGTAATTCTCTGCTGACTAGGCCGCGTATTTTATCTGCATTGCATTACGTCACAGATCGAAGCGGTGGATTGCTCATTCCTTGACAAAGACAGGTGTTAAATCGTCGAATTTCTTTGTGTGTGTTGGAAATTACAATTAAAACCTGTTTCAAAATGAATTATACCAACACAGAAAAACTTTCAATACCTTGAGCTCCTTAGTCCTGACCAGCCCGTGCTTGTCCAAGTTTTCCCGCGCAGTCTGCAGACGAGAGTTGGACAGGTAGTCGAACCCGGAGTGCGCGGGGTCGAACAGCTGCGCCACGTCATGATGCTGTACGGCCCGTAGGACCCGGATGAGAGCTGTCGGGCTGTGAAAGACGTACTTCTGAAGAGACGGGCTGTCCTTGAAGTAGAGGACTCGGCCGGTTTCGTGGAGGTACACCAAAGCCGAGGTGAGATTTTCTCCGCTTAGACTGACAGTCTTGCCCATCTCTCTCACCTGGTCGAAGGGAAGGCATAGCCTCGCCTCGGCGTTGTTACGGTTGTTCGCCCTCGCTGACTCAAAAAGGTCCAACAGAAGAGTCCAAGATTTAGGGATCGAACTTCTGACGTTAGGGAATAGTTTCTGGTCGGTTGAGAAAGACAGGATTGTTTCCTTCAGCTGCGCGATGCCCTCAAGCTCGTCGGAGGAACTCACGGTGTTCTGTAGGACGATCTTTGGTTGCAGTTCCTCCATTCGCCGCAAGTGGGCCAACCTTTCCCGGACTGAGCTGCGCTTGGCGTCCGAGAGGACGTCGAGGTCGGCCCCTGAGTTTTCTGAGTCAAACGGTTCCTCAAGGACCTTCTCAAGACGTTCTATCTCCCGTCTGAGCTGGGAGCGTTCTGCGGCCAGCATATGGTCCATGTCGTGCTTCAGCTTATTGTACACCATGTCAACCTGTATACAAGAAAGGGAAGTGGAAACGCTAAAGAAACATGTTATATATTTACCTTCGCCAAGAAGGTTATGTTTTCGTAGGCGTTCGTGTGTCTGTGTGTGTGTGTGTGTGTGTGTGTGTGTGTGTGTGTGTGTGTGTCAGCACGATAACTCAAGAAGGCTAAAATGGATTGTCTTGATATTTGGTAGGTGGATAGGTCTTCATGAGACGTGGAACTGATTAAATTTTGGGCCCCCTAGCGGCTTGTTATGGTACTGCAGCTGAACTTCCGGTTTTGATATCTCGTGATCTAGACATGCTAGGGTGACGAAATTTGGATGGTAGGTAGCTCTTGTGCTGGGGAAGAAGTGATGTGAGTTTGGCCTCCCTAGAGGCTTGCTCTGGAACTGCAGGGGTGTTAGTTGAAAAATATTTAAAGGCGGATAACTCTAGAACCGATTGATGGATCGTCGTGATTTTTGGCATGTAGGTAGCTGAGGTGATGCTTAACATAATAATATTATAATTATGCATATATTAGTGTAATTTGCATAATTAATGAGGAAATTCTATCAATCATCTGCATTCCCTGATAGGACTATTCAAGCTTGTGGCATATGTAATTAAGAACGGCAGAAATACAGGCAGATATCGATTATGCAAATGAAGACTTAATTTGCATAATTAATGAGAAAATGTTATATTTACATAGTGGTAACTGCCTGGAATGTCATACTTGGGATATTTGAAAGTTATGTGAAGGTGAACGTAATTAAACATAACTTATTCAAATAAGGACCTCATTTGCATAATTTATGAGGAAATGCTATAATGGCATTCTTTGATAAGATAAGACTGTCTTCTGGTGTAGAATATGATCAACAGATATAATTGATGCAAATATAGGATCCTATTTGCACAATCAGGGGGATTAATCTATAATTTCTTACTCATAAAGGCTAACATCATTTGGCGAAGGTACGAGGGGTGATCCAAAAGTTCTCGGCCTCACCTAGAAAATAGAGGTCAAACGCGTATTCTTTGGTATAACTGTGTACTATGACGTCTTACATCACTGCACACAAAAATGCAAATTTTTACATTCATTAATTAGCACGTGACACCCCGTGAAAATGGGGTGGGTGAGGGCAAATCACAAAATGGCCGCACCAGAAGCGTGTGCTATGATCAAGTGTATCGATAAAAAGCTATGTCTCTTAGGGAAATCCATAAAGACATGATCAAGTCACTTGGTGATGACTCCCCTTCTTATTTAACCACGAAGAACTGGGTTGCTAGCTCTAAGGGCGTCAAGAAGAGCACAAAAGATGAACATATGTCAGGATGCCACAAATCAGCACCATGGACAATCCAGTTGAGGCCATCCATAACATGGTAGTAAATGACAGATGTGAGACTGTCCAACATGTAGCAGGTTCTTTGGCCTGACTTGTGGTACAGTTCACAATGTTTTGTCAGACATCCTGGGGATGAGCAACTTGTCTGCATGATGGGTGCATAGAATGTTGACTGAACATCACACGTTAAACAGGCTGGACATTTCAAGGAACGAATTCAGTCCATCAAGGCAACTTACTCAAACGATTTGTCACCCAAGATGAGGCATGGGTGCACCACTTTCACCCCGAATCAAAACAGCAGAGCAAATAATTGACGAAGAACGGTTCCCAGCATCCCAAGAGAGTTTTACCCGTTGAAAGGGTTTTTGCCTCTATTTTCTGGGACAGTGAGGGGGTAATCATTATTGACTACCTGCAAAAGGGTCAAACCATCAATGGGGTGTACTGTGCACCAGAATTGCGGCATTTGAGGGCAACAATCACAGAGAAAAGGGGAGAAAAGCTCCGAGTTGACGTGCTGACAATGCACCTGTCCACACGGCACAGGGGTCAGTGGCAGCAGCAAACGAATGTGACTTTGAAGTCTTATCCCACCCTTCCTAGTCACCTGACCTAGCACCGTGGGCCTTCTACCTGTTTCCTAAACTCAAGTTCCACTTACGTGGTCAACGTTTTGATGGTGATGATGACGTCATTGATGTGGTTTAGGCATTTTTAAGGGCTTCAGACGAAATATTCTTCCACAAGGGAAAGGAAAGCTGGAACATCGCTGGACAAAGTGCATTGAAGTTAGAGGAGACTATGTTAAAAAATAGTGTAAGAAAAATTTTTCTGCCATCACGTTTTTTGGGAGAGGCCGAGAACTTTTGGATCACCCCTCGTATGAGATCGTGGAACTCTAGTAAGTCATGCATTTTGGACAACCGTTTCGAAATATCATGTTGCCATTTCACTCACTCGCTCAATCACTCATTCATTCTTTTATCCTTCTATAAATCCATCCATTCATTGAATTTCGTCCACTCATTCATTCATTCATTCATTTATCTGTCCATCAATCTATCCATCCTACCACCCATCCATCCATCCATCCATTCATTCTTTCATTCATTCAATCAATCATTTATTCGCCGGCCTATCCAGTCATTCATTACCTCCATGAAATGTGTCATGGAGGTTATATTTTCAGTTGCGTTTATCTGTCCGTCTGTCCGTCTGTCCGTCTGTCTGTCTGTCCGTCTGTCCGTCTGTTGGTCAACAAGATAACTCAAGAACGCCTGGATGGATTGGTTTCAGACTTGGTGTGTTGGTAGGGTGTGACAAAAACTGAAAATGATTAGATTTTGGGCCCCCTAGTGGCTTCCCTTGGTACTGCAGTGCAACTTCCGGTTTTGATATCTCGCGATCTGGACATGCTAGGGTCATGAAATTTGGATGGAAGGTAGCTCTTGTCCTCGGGAAGGAGTCACGTGAGTTTGGTCTCCCTAGCGGCTTGTTCTGGAACTGCAGGGTGGTTTCTTTGAAAATCTTCGAGAGAGGATAACTGAACAACCGTTTGATGGATCATCATGATTTTTGGTATATAATCATGATTTTTGGTATATAATCAAAATATAATTATGCAAATCAGGATCTAATTTGCATAATTAATGAGGAAATTCTATAAATCAGCTGTATTTCATATTAGGGCTATAAAACTCTATAGACATATGTTAGTGAGAACGACAAGATCATTGGCAGATATCGATTATGTAAAGGAAGACCTAATTTTCATAATAAATGGCAAATTGGTACAATTTTATGGTGGTAACTGCTGGGAATTTAATACTTGCCATAATTGGAAGTTCAGTGAAGGTGAACATCACTAAACATAATTTATGTCAATCAGGACCTCATTTGCATAATTTATGAGGAAACGCTAGAATAGCCTTATTTCTTAAGATAACCCTGTCATTTGGTGGAGAGTATGATCAATTGATGCAATATATGCAAATGGCCTCATATGATTTGAATATATGCGGTGAAAAATGTAAGCCAATTACAGGTGGTCATCACCATGCGTAAGATTTATGAAAACAATACACATGTCATGGAGGTATGAGATCATCGAACTCTAGTTCATTCATTCATCCATCCATCGACTTATTCATTCATTCAATTATTTATCCGCCCACCTATCCAGTCATTCATTCATCCGTCCATCCATCCATCCATCCATCCATCCATCCATTCATTCATTCATCCATTCATCCATCCATTCATTCATCCATCCATCCATCCATCCATCCATCCGTCCATCCATCCATCCATCCATCCATCCATTCATTCATTCATCCATTCATCCATTCATCCATCCATTCATTCATTCATCCATCCATCCATCCATCCATCCATCCATCCATCCATCCATCCATCCATCCATCCATCCCATCCATCCATCCGTCCATCCATCCATCCATCCATCCATCCATTCATTCATTCATCCATTCATCCATTCATCCATCCATTCATTCATTCATCCATCCATCCATCCATCCATCCATCCATCCATCCATCCATCCATCCATCCATCCATCCATCCATCCATCCATCCACCTATCCACCCATCCATCCATCTACCCACCTATCCATCCATCTATCCATCCACCCATCCATCCATCCATCCATCCATCCATCCATCCATCCATCCATCCATCCATCCCCTCACCTGTTCCTGTGATTCCAGTCTGTCCGTCTTGGTTCCCACCACACAGACTGTTGCTCCCGGCGCACGCGCAGTGACAGTCCGTACCCAGTACCCCACCATACCCTCAAACTCCTCCGTCCTGTACTCACTCAGGTCCACCGCCAACACCTGCAGCGCATGCGCCGAGACGAAGAAGGGAAGTACATTCTGATACGCGTCGTGCCCTCCTACGTCATAGACCTCAAACACAAACTCTTGTGCGTCGATTTTTTTGCCGAGCTCTGACTGTTCCACAACCCATCTCTTCACCTCCATACAGTGTGTTCTAGCTTCCTCTTTCGCCAAACGAGACACTGCCCTCGTCAAGGCCGCGACTAGGCTCGTTTTTCCCGCCATAAGCCTCCCTAGCACGACTATTTTCAGACAAGGCGGCACGGAGACAGTCATTCTAGCTTCCTCTAGCTCTCTCTGATAGGCGGCTATTGCACTGATACCTTCCTGGCATGTTTCTAACGGCGGTTGTACCAGAGGGTTGTTGTCTAGGTTGAGATGCTTCAGTTTCAAGCGTCCGAAGCCAAAAGGCAGGGTACTGATGTTGTTACGATGAGCCATGAATTCTGTCAGGTTTTCCATCTCGCAGATACTGTCCGGGAGAGAGTCTAGGTTGTTCTCACACAGCCATAACTTCTGCAATTTCTGTAGCACGGAAATATTCGCAGGTAGTCTACAGATACAGTTTTCTCTGAGGTCGAGAATTTCCAGATTGGATAGTTGCAGCACGACTTCGGGAAATTCTGTAAACCGGTTGCCCCAGAGCCAGAGTCGCTTCAAAGTCGCCCCGAAGCAAAGTCCAAAGTTTGTCGGTAGCGTTTTGATCTTGTTGTGACGTAGGTTGATCATTTCTACCGTGGTCTGAGAGAAAATGTCGTCCGGAATTTCCGATAGTCCCCTTCCGGCTAGATCAACCGAGATCTGGTCCGCCATAGTTGTATGTTACTAGTAGAGTTCACAAATCAGCTAACAGAAGTGATGATGGTGCGTAGGACCTCTTTACTAGTTCTATCTGAAAGTAACGAAGCGAAAGAAAATGAAGTGAAATCATTTCTATTTTTGGGTAGTGCTGTCCCTCTCCGTTCCCATGGCGACGGTGACGTACATGCTGACGTCACGGATGGCTCTCTGCCAAAACGTAAATATTGTTTGCTAGCCGTCTCTTTCCGATTCATATAAAATATATGTCTTGTTTGCTACTAGCTCTAGTTTGCTACTTACTTGAGGATGTTAACATCATTTCTATAGCCTGCACCAGGCCTTCCTACACGATACTTGTACGTTGTAGTAAGACTGGTAAAAATGATTACTAAATAATTGGCCAGGGGAGTGTGCCTCGGTAAGGGTAATTAATATTAACGTTAACAGCACGAGAAAATGAACTTTATCGTGGTCAAATTATTCCTTTTTAGTTGCTGTCTACTGCAGACTACCATTTTCAGACTGGACCAATATTTTTACGCTTTACTTCGTGCTGTTCCCAAACTATCGCCCACAACGCTTTCCCAGGTTGACTCGATAATAATCTTGACTTCCCACTCAGAGATGTTTATGCCTTGGTGTGAACAATGCACCACCTGTCCCTGTGTTAGCCCAGCCGTCTCGAGTAGGAATGAGTTCATTGTCACGAGAAACGATGACGTATAGGGGGTTCCCCAACTAGTCACCTCGCCTCATAAACACTATTCATAAGTAGGCACAATTCAATGAACCAAGGATGTTTGTTTAAACCCAGTCTACACTAGACTAACATTAAACAACGCGGGTTCAGACGTAAAATTTAGCAGATTAGGCCACACCAATTTAATTTCTTGGTTAACGGATTTTTCTAGAAAAATAATGGAGTGGGCGGGCGAAAAAAAATAAAACAGGCCTAGGCATCCTATTATGGCCCAAAATGGCACGATAGGAGCCATGAAGTCAACACACCAGGCTGGATCAAAATTTAAACAATGAATTTTGAACTTTCAATGATACCACTGCAATGAAAGATGGAAGAACTGTAACAACTAGGAAGAAAAGGACTGTTTTCAACTGTTCAGGGCGAAATATGAGCATTTTGCAGTTTTATTTTTTTATTTTTGCAAATCAGAAAAAAATGAAGCGGGCGAATCCGTTAACCAAGAAATTAAATTGGCGTGACCCTATAGGGACAATAATCAACTACATGACTTTATTTTCCAAAGGGAAATCGCCAATCAATAAGCATATTTTTGCCTGATCTTCAATACTGTCCATATCCCCTTATAGGAAAGCCTGGTGGAGGCTAGTTTAAACATCTACGTAACGCCTTTTTACTTAGACTTTACATTTTCATTTATACTAGTGAACCATATATACTATGCTACTTATTGTTACCTACTAGTATTTGCCATACAATGTACCCTGTACAATTGTCGTGCAATAAAGTTCTTCTGTATAGCATCAAACTGTGATAGGTACATGTACATAACAACAAGAATAGCCTCAATAATTTTATACGATTGGCGCACGTTCCAAAATCACATTATACGTATAATGTGCGGAATTGTTTTTGAAAGGTTGTGAATATTTTCTAGTGACAAAAAAGACAATATGCGGTACCATCATAGGTACTAGAATAGAGGTGAGTGAAAAGTTCATTAGTTGCTATGGGCCTCTCGTGTTTTGCCCACAATGTGTAAATAAAAACTACCCCCTCAAGCCTCATTATACAACAGGTTGGTCTGAACTATTGACCTATTTGTATACGCAACTGTCCGTTGACCTACATATGACGTGTACCGTATACGTGCATGATGAAATCCTGTATGTAACGTTATATCATACAAAATGATACATGACATCAGCATGTCTTTGATGGGTGATACTATTGAAAAGGTACAGAATGATACAGAGTAGAATTTTTCTTTGGTTCCGCGTTTCGGCAAAGAAATATAAAAAAAACACGTGTGTACAAACTTTTGACCTATTAGTATACGCAATTGTCCGTTGACCTACATATGACGTGTACCGTACACGTGCATGATGAAATCCCGTACGTATATCATACAAAATTATACATAATATCAGCATTTCTTCGATGGGTGGTACTATTGAAAAGGTACAGAATGATACAGTGTAGAATTTCTTTGGTTCCGCGTTTCGGCACAGGAATATTAAAAAAAAAAACGTGTGTACAAACTTACCTGTGACGTGTTTAAATACCCTTCCTACTTGAGTAAACAGTACTAGGGTCCACATAATTGTTTCCGAACGATTTTTTTCTAGTTTTACTGTTTTCCATGGACGGTCGACTAACATCAAAAAACAAGACATTACACATGACACTATATAATGACAGGTGTCATTGGAGATTTAATATTTTGCGGCCGGCCGTCATAAACAGTGCGGTCATAATCGGCGTACGATTTTGATATGTGTCGGGGAATTTCCAAGCAGGCTGTGACAGACTCAACCGCCGACAAGATTGTCCGTAACAACACAGCTTAATTTTGCTGCACGACTAGTACTGTCCAAAGAATTCCTTCAGTTTGACATTGTAGGACGTATATGTACGAGTACGTGTCCTATCGTTCGTTTCCACTAGTTTTCGTTGGTGTAATAGTGTATAACAGTGGGGGGTTTATAGGCGCTACCAACTGACCGAGCCGATTGGTCTAGACCTTTTAGCCGATTCGGTAGGAGCGTCGGATTGTAAGCTGGTGCCCGGGGGTCGTGGGTTCGATCCTAGCCCCGGGCCAGGGGTTTTTATCTGTTTCTACTCCCATAATGCTTACAATAGTCTCTCTAACAACGGCCGTAGCATATACTAGTACACGTACATGTATGTTGGCTTTCACAAGCATAGTAAACAATAATGTGTGCCTCCATACCTGATAATAATGTGCGTCTTCAAAACACCCTCAAGGGAAAAGTTGTTACTGGGACGAAACGCGGTGTACACTCTCCAAGGACCAAGCTTGCAAGGTACTTAGTACATGCTGGATTTGCGCGGCAAAAAATGTCGTCTGCAAATATTGTGACTAATCGGTAGACCAGTAACAGGAAGCGTAGGTTGATATTTGCTTTATATTAGGTCGTTGATTGGCTGACGGTGACGTTATAGGTAACTAGATGTATCGTGTGCATGCGTATTGTGGTCTTTATATTTGATTTCCTCGTGGCCTGTGTGTGAGTTTGTTTCCATTACGTCACTATCAGGAAGGCCTGCAAACCGTAGGTAAATTGCATAAAGTCGGTCATAGGTCGGACAACACCAATGATGTAACGCCTTTCATTTGATTTGGATTTGCATGGGACAACAAGTGGTTTCGACAGCAAGTCGGCATGCAGCCAGTTTTCTTTCATAACAACGCTCGTAATAAGTTGACTATTCAAACTTCTACAATTTATCCCAATTTTACTAAACTTACAAAGAAAACAATATTCTTCTTTTAACTTCCCAAACCCACTAATTTTGGAAAAAGGTCTTCCATGGTTTAAAAAAGAGAAGTCAAACCCCTCAGACATAGTTATAGACATAGCTATAACTTAAGACAACTACCTTTCAACATGTAGATTTTAGTTATTCTATACATGTGTACTCTGTTTCATTGTTCTTTTATGCTTGTAATTTGTAATTAGGCCCCATGCACGAATTTGCAATAACTTCTCTTATTGGTCGTACCACTTGATTGATTCCATGTCATGGAATTTTCCACCCAGAACAGGGCATGTCTGTCACCTACAACGCCCACAAACTGACGTCAACTAGTTAGTGATGCTTGACTGACTATGTTTTGAACTGTTGTTTGTATGGTTGTTGACCCATCCAAATGACCGTATCCGACCCACGTGTAAACTTGAAACCCTTTGATCTTACGTACACACGTCAAAGCAATGACGTTCTTGGTCAAATACAAATGTATTGACTGTTACATTTTGTCCCTGTCCGTCCCCTCTGCGTATACATACCAATCGGGCTTTTTAGGCAGGCTTATGATATGTATTTTGTACTGATGGTATATCACTTCTATTTGCATTCTGTTCTTTATACTTGTATGGACGTGGCACACGAGAAACGGGGAAAGTACGGACTTTAATTTGTCATGACGTCAGAGTATGTACACTGTCGTTCCATGTTTTTCCGCAAGGTGGACGGAGATGTTATACTAGTACATGTGCACGTTCAACATGACGCAATAACGGAACACAGATGATATGCGAGCTCGTTCTTGTATGGTCTTTAATGACACAAGGACTACAAATGTCAGATTTTTTGGGTCCAGTCCGAAATCCGATAGGAGATAGATTAAGTTTCTCTGTTTTAAAACTTTTATAATGTATTATAACCAAATCTATGATATTTCCATCTGATAAAAATGTACAAGTACACATGTATATAAAAGACACCCGACTGACCTAAAAAATAAAGCCACAATCATTATAGCTTCAACATGCTTTATTGCATTTGATTGAAAGTCATCACTACATACTGTAATATATAGATGGTAAGACTGAAAAAAATATATAGATTCCCACCTGGTACACGAGCAGAAAAACAGCAGCAATGCATGATAGGAAATGACCTGATAAATAAATTTGAGTAATAGAGTAGCTGCACTTTTCCCCCCAAGAAGTTACAAAGGTTATATCCCAATAAGTTGTATCCAAGTTTTTATATTAAAGTTGTTTATACACTCTCTACATGTATATCTGGGACTGCCTGACAAAAATGCTGTATGATACTTGTTATTGTGTACTTGTATGTACATGTACGTGTATTGTTAGTTTTTCTTTTCATTCTCCAGTAATGATACCAATGATGTAACAATGATGTTTTGGTGGTTGCCAGAATGTGTACCACGTAATCATGGTATGAAACATAAATAAATGTGAGTGAGTTACATGATATAAGAAATAGTCCATTCTATGATGTGATTCTATTAGGCATTTCTCTATGATCATACAAATTACAGCTCCAATGCATTCAGCCACTACACTTCCCAGAAGTCTGAAGTTTCTAAATTCTGGTCTGGGCCACAACGACTTAATTTTACGGATGACATCCTCTGAAGACCCCCAAACTAGTGCGCGCGGGCGAATAAAAAAATTCTGGCCAATAAAAATGCTGCTAAACCACAGGAATACAAAGCTGATATGGTAAATTTGAAGTAGTACATAGCGACTTTTACAACAAGCCAGCACATGCTGGCCTTTTGCGGAATTTATGAATCGGCACTGTACGTACAATGTATGTACCGAGATCCTAAGTCGTGGAGATTCGCAGCCTGGGTGCCGTCCTCCGTAGTTACCGCCACCGGCTCCCTATTATTGTCACTGGCTACATGGACTACGGAGGATGTCACCCAGGCAAGAGCCTCGGAGGACGTGATCTTTTCTTTTTTTGAGAACAGGCCAAAATCAATGCGTGCGTGAATGTCGTCCATAAAATTAAATCAGTGTGTTCTGTTCACTGTTTGATAGCAGGCATGTTCCAGCCATGCTGCTTGATGTACTGGTTGAGCGAGCCCAGAGACACAGGGGGCAGGTACTCTCCGATTCTTCGCCGTTTCCACCATTTTCCCTCCTTCGCTGCGGTGCTGCCAATCCTCGTGTAGGAATACTTGTAGTGTTCGGCTCGAATAAAACTGGAAAGTAGGGACAGACTGTCACAAATATAATTCAACCTACACGTACACTATATACATCAGGGCCCACCACCCTTCACTGAACCGCGACGGGGGCCGACATCGTCTACCAGATACCTCTGACCCAGTGTTGATGTCACACTTCAAAGAAGCCACGTGACAAGCTTCACTGGGTCAGTCTACTGAGGAAGACCAGAGTGACTGGTTGAAAGCTCTAGGTGAGAGAACTTTTTGTGTTGGATCTAAAGTTTTAACTCTAAACAATCATGTAACTACCAACATAGATGAACTTTCATGATAGTAACTTAAATATATGGTGTCTCATTACTTCTGGGACAGAAGTATTGTTTTGGGCGGCATTAATTTAGTGGGAGTTTGTATGTATTTTGTCCTCAGCAGCAAGGATTGGAAGTGAGTGGGCAGTGACTGGATTTCAGTTGATTGACAGGGTTGTGACCTGGAAATATTGCCCTGGGTGGTGGGATATGGCAAGTAAGTAATAATAAAGTGTTGACTAGTTCTGACAGTTCACTTTAGTGACGCTGAAGAAGAGTGGTTGTGAATTGGAATCCGTATTTTATCCAGTTCCAGAGTTTACATTGTCTGTTACTGAAACATACAACATTGTGCAAACAGAGGATCCTACACTAGTATAGAACTTGAACCAAACACCTACCGAGGAGGCTGTTTTCCATGGAATGGGTTGTGTGCTATTAACGACTCTGCTCCAGGGTCATTAACTAGGAGCTTTGCTGCCAGGTGGACTAGCCAGTTGTTGTAGTTGTAATTCTGTTGGAGGTAAAAATGGACAAGAAAACAACAATCCTGTCAACTTGGTGCAAGAGGATGGCTTGGTGGTGGTTTTATTTTGTGGTAGGACAGGGAAAAAAGGAGGATTTTGCATCATTGCAAGTTCACAGTATAAACAATTCTGTAGTACTATAAAATACATATTTGTTGGCTACTGGATACCTTTGACCCAGTGTTGACGTCACACTTCATAGAAGCATCGTGACAAGTCTCACTGGATTAGTCTTTTGAAGAAGACTAAAGTGACTGGTTAAAAGCTCTGGTGTTGGAACAAAAGTTATAAATCTAAACACATATTTTTGGCATTATGACTTTTTGGTAAGTAGAGGTCACTGTGAAAACCCTGAAAATAAAATCACTGCAAAAGTTTTTGCATGAAGAGTATTTCTGACCTGGAAAGCGGCAAACCACATGAGCCAGTCCAGCCTGTAGTGGTAGGGGGAGATCAGACACGGTCTTCTCGTCACGTTGCCTGGCTTGCACTTGAACTCGTACTCTTCCCATACTGCACTGGGGTCATTCGGGTTTATTGCGTACGTCCCTTGAAATATCACTTCTGTTCTCTCCTTAGTGATGCTGGAAATGCAATAAAAGATGCTTGATGTGTGACACATGTTTCAGAGAGTTTTAAGACAACTGAAGACATCACAAAGAACTAAAATAATCTACGTTTCTGTCAGATATTGTGTCCTTGGGAATGGCACTTAACACGACTTTCCTGACTCCACCCTGGTGTACCTGACTTTAGTTCTTCTTCTTTTTTTTTTTGGCAAGATTTTTATGGCTAGATGCCCTTCCTATTGCCAGCCCAAACCCTTGTAGGGCCCAAGATCCCTCTAACTGAGGGGGAAAATATGTGTTAAGTGCCTTTCCCATGTCTGGGTCCAACCCTGGGGATTGAACCTGGGTGCGAAGCAAAACTCCAGTCAGAATCTAAGGAAGGTGTCTGACAGACACCGAAATGTAAGTAAGGTAAGACACATATCTGGTTATGTAAAAGAAAATTCCAATATCCGACTACTTTTACCTATCCCAGAGCAGAGGGCACTTACCTTCCGAAGGCACCATATGTGTTGACCAATCGGAGGGGGTCAAAAGAAGTGTTCATGGCTTGTCGTGGTGACAGCAGGTTCTGTACCACGGGGAGGCTCAGGTAGACGAGGAGTCCCGCCAGCGACACGTGCACCACACGACGCACCAACTGACCTGGGCAGAAAGTTTAAAGTTTTATCTGTGTACAATGAATTAAAAACCTTGCAATTAGTATTGAATTCACAATTGGTTTTCTGAATTCAGAATTGGCCTACTCATGTTATATGCTTCCACTGGCTCGAAGGCATTCATGACTTGTATTACCGTTAGTTGGGTATTACAATGCTTGCTGAATTCCTCCACATATTGCCCATTCACCTGAGGCATGCTGTGTCACTTTCAGCTTGACCTCCCTATCAATCTACTGTCAAATGAACTCCCACCCACCATGCGACCAAAGCTTATCATATTACCACAGAAATACAACACACAGTAGTGGCCAAATATTGGACATAGAAAATCATGGCCCATTTCAGAATGTTACACCAAATCTTACAAGCCAGTTACCTACACCGACTCTTACTACACAAGATTCACTTGCTCCTGATTTTAATACTATTCTTACACCCATGGGAATTCATTACAACAAAAAAGGTACACTGCACCCATGGGAATTCGTTGCAAGAAAATGAACAGCACCTTTCAAAACTAATACTTTCATCAGGAACTTTTAAGAGCAATGCTTTTATTCCGGTATGTCATCTTACACGCACGCGTGAAGCTTTTATTATACTTCCGTAAAGTACAGTAATCTACCGGTATGTCATACATGTACCTGGGCCGCCGGTGTGCTCCAGTCTGTGTGATAACTAGCGGTATGGCCCGGGGTTCTATTTTTTTTATTTGGGCTTCCAAATGTTCCATAGAATAATTTGAACACTTCGGCCATCAGCGATCCAACTTGTGGACAGGCTGGTACCTTGGGGGATACGGAGTACACCGTGTAGTATTCTATATTCCCTTTTTTTTTTGTGTACTTTTATGTTCACGGTTTTCATGGTCATCTATGTACCATAAACTTATCATAACTGTTAATAATGATTTGCCGACTTTCTTTTTTCTTTACCTGCTCCCACTAGTTCCACAAACATGTCCATTTTTCTCAGACTGTGAACTTTCGCTAACGCAAACATAAGGCGAATTACATAATCAAATCTCTACCCCATGAAGGAGTTGGTGCCCTCCCACTGTTCTCCTCCTGTTGGATCTGTGCGACCTGCCATTTGGTCCCCCCTCTCCCGCCGGGGAACAGACAGGCCAGGTGGGCGTCATCAAAACTACAGATACTGGGCAGGATAGTCAGCCAGTTCAGGAAACTCAGGTTACCACTCAGGATCAGGACAACCTGGCAACAACAAATTGGATATTTCAGACTTCAGGGAAGTGTTTTGTCTTGTGTGAATGTATTCTGTATCTGTATCTGTATAGCCGGTATAACCGCCCTTTGGCATAACCAAGGACACACAAAGCTTCTTGGCATAACACATCAGCTTCTGTATCTGTATAGCCGGTATAACCGCCCTTTGGCATAACACACCAGTTTCTGTATCAGTATAGCCAGTATAACCGCCGCGTAACACACCAGCTTCTGTATGTGTATAGCCTTTATACATGTAACCGCCCTTCAGCGTAACACACCAGCTTCGCAGGCACGCCGCACGGCAGCAGGTGGCTATATTACACCGAATGACTTGTTACACCTAACCCTTGAACATCTATCTAAATCAAATTGGAAGTTGGAACTGTATTGTATGATCATGGGGAAACACCCGATTGAATCACATCATACGTCGATGAAGGTTAGACATCCAGGTAATAAGATATGCCATAAAGCAGTTACTCCGAGTGAGTGAAGCAACTGGATATGATTTTGGAAACAGTCAGACGTTTCAGGTAGTATCCACTACCTTTTGTCTGTGACACTAAGAGACCAGAGGAGAAATGCAGGTTTATAAGCATAATGTGCCAAAATAAAATCATTTATTTATGATGTCTGCTTTCTATCTTTTGAACTAAAAATGTCTGAGAACCAACAAAATGACTTAGTGTGGCCTAAACTACTGAACAACAAATTGTGGAAGATACCATTTACCTGGAACAGAATCTGGAGAAAACCACAGGTGAAACGGAAGGGCCGAGTCAGGAAGATGAACCAGGGTGCCACCAGCTCGATGAAGTGGTTGGACAGAGTCTCAAACTTGTGCATGGCCTCTGGTGTCTGGTGCAGGTAGTAGCTGAGAGGGTTGGGGACAGGCTGGGTCTGGGGACAACACAGTTTGTTTGTTTGTTTCGCATAAGGCCATGTTGATTTGATTATATGGATGACATCCTCCGGGAGCCCCAAAACTGATGCGCGCGTGCGAATAAAAAAAAAGTTTTGCAAAAAAAAAGTTCTTTTCATTACGAAATCTACGTGGTCATGAGGGTTGAGTCAAATGGCACAGAGTATGGTTTGGCAAATAATCTAGTCTTCAAGTTCATTTCTTTACAATTTCGTCTTTTTTCGTTTGATTTTGGCATTCTACGACATTGGTATAGTTTTTATTAATTTTTTTGGTAACTTATGGTATATTTTTGCTCATTTTGCAACTGGTTTGTACGATTTACAGTATGGTTGAAAACTTTTTTTTTTTTGGAAACGGCCGAAAATTCATGCGCGCGCGGATGTCATCCATATAATCAAATCAACATGGCCTAACCGGTAAACCGCCTTTAGGCGTAACACACCAGTTTTGTACATGTACGTACATGTACAAGCTGCGTAAGACCGGACTGTAAGGTTTGAACCACTCATACCGGGAAGGTCTCCTATTCTTTTCTATCAGTGTGGAGGGTTCTTTAACGTGCGTGGGGTGTGGCTCTCCTAAACATGGGACCTCCATTTAACGTCCTATCCGAGGGACGTCCCTAACCGAAGCTAGGTACTCATTTCTACCTGAGTGAAGTGAGGAAAGTCGTGTAAAGTGCCTTTCCCAAGGGCACAAGATAGGTGACACAGGCAGAAATCGAACCCGGGACATCTTGGGCCTGGCCCTAACATGCAGACATACTAGTGGTTTGCATTAATGAATTACATATAGAATGCATTACTCCTCCTACAATTGTGAAACTTAGTGTACGTGATTTATGTTTCACACATTCCTTCGAACCGGGCATAGCAGATCAAACCCGTCAATCAAGCGAAACCCAATCTAGATCTCCGCCCTCTCACTTTGGAACCCAAACATACAAACCTACATAGCATACCCAGAACAATACTTCCATCCTGGAATTAATTAGGTAGTAGAGATGACATCTAACCTGGTAGTGATAGTTCATACAGGTCAGGTCCCTCCAGCACTGGTCACCTCGGATTTTAATCAAGCCCTGAACAGAAGAAGAAAAAATTATTCAACTTACACCTAAAGAGCTTGATACTGAGATTATGATATCAACAATTCAAATTTTTCTCTTAATAAGTATACAGAGAGTTATAATCCGAAATTCGAACATTTTACTAGGTGGCAAAATGGAACAAAATAGATTTTGTGCTATTCACAGTCTCTTTTGTTTCATTTGGTTTCTTGTTTTGTTCCATTTCAAACCAATTTGTTGCATTTTGCACTTTCTGTACACCCCATTTTAGTACTTACGGCTCCAAGCATGATGCGGAAGATGAGCCATCGGTACCCCCAGATGACGACCAGGGATGGGGGGGTTCTCCTGGGCAGGGGGTGCAGAGTCAGGAGGGGGCAGAAGAAGATGGCTAGGAACCCTGTCTCAAGGAGCTGGGACTCCCAGCCTATATTACAAGAACAAGAAATCAGAGATTTCAAACTTTCTTGAAGTGTTTTGGAGTTTTGTGAGTTTATTGCAACTGTATTATATTGGTCATGGGGAAATACCCGATTCAATAATTTATTACATCATAGAATGGATTATTTCTCATACAAAAACTGACATAACATACTTCAGTATTTAGCCATGCTTTACTCAGGGCATACCAGGTTACAACCCTGTCAATCAACTGAAACCAATCTCCACCCACTCACCCACTCACTTCTAATCCTTGCTTCTGGGGATGAGATACATACAAACCCACGTAAACCTGCACCACCCAAAACAATACTTCTGTCCCAGAAAAGCGTGTAACTTTCTGCTGTAGGAAGAGTTTTATTTAGTTCCACCTATACAATTTTGTTGAAAGGTAATAGTTGTTCTATAATCCAAAACATACTACATATAACATTTTACAATAGCTTTTCTTGCCACCTTACTTATAGCCACCACCTTAGATGTTACACTAACCTGTAAACATATGAGAATATCACTTACCAAAGGAATACCTGAAATGAAGCAAAAAGAGAAAAGAATGAGAAATTGTTAGTTACCTGTGCATTGTTACAGAGTCTGTGTCTGAAAAGACAAGAGGAAGAATATAGGACAGTGTTGTGATGTATGTAAAGATGTTAAATGTTTAGTAGTATACAGCATATTCTTCATTAATATCTAAGGGTAAAGAGAATGAAAAAAATCTTTGTCATAGTACATTTATTTAGAAATGAAACGGCATTAGTTTTTGCTGACATTTTACTTGTATGGTGCACCCAAAAAATGTTTTGTGCACCCAATTTGTCCCAAAAATGAATTTCGAGCCCTGTTACTGTATCATCACAAATCTGAAGAGCATATCTGTACTGTACCTACCATCTCTGTCCTATGTTGACAATAGAGTGATAGAGCGCCCACAGTGCTGCCATCATCACCATGTTGGCACATCCTGTTACCATGACGATAAAGGATAGAGCCGCTCCCAAGTAGGCCAGCCTAAACGAAAAGATGAACATATTTCTTTCAAGTCACATTATTTGAAGCTATTGCTAAGAGAAATGAGAAGATCACAAAAGGTTGCAGCTGTTTAAAAAATACGACTTATCACTTATGATTGAAAAATTTTAAAAACAGTCTCTATGGGTATCTGGAGTAGTAGGTCCCTCTCCCAGTCCACCTACGGTCCACAGTAGACTGGGTACCAGGCTCCAGACATGGACTCACCTGTAGACTGGGTACCAGGCTCCAGACACGGACTCACCTGTCCAACCACAGATCCAGGTCCCTCTCCCAGTCCACCCACCACAGTAGACTGGGTACCAGGCTCCAGGTGCTCTGTGTGGGGTCAGCTGCGGCATGTTGCTGCACCCTCTGCAGGTACAGGTGGGCAGGCAGGAGGCCGTCTGTGCCCAGCAGCTGCTTGTTCTGATGCAAGGCCACCAGGAAGGCAACAACTACAGCCAGGAGGGACACAGGTTAAGTCTTGATGTCATTATGTTTACCAAAGGAAAACATATTGTTTTTGCTACGTTTCCTCTTCTTCTTCTTCTTCTTTCCTTCCAAACACTGGCCTCTGACCTGATTTGTTGAAGTCTCTCACCATGGAACAGGTGTTGGGTTACATAATGTTGCAATTTCATAGTAGGAGGGATTTATACTCCTGTCTGACCATATATATATATGAATGCATTTGAGTAAGAATGAACAGAGCAGACCATATCTGAAGGTAAACATTATGCATTTGCTTTGCAAATGTTAACGTTACCTTTCTAGTGTAGGTTATTTTTGCTATCCTGGTTACATCGTAATACACTCTAAATTCTGACCAACTCCCTATATCTAAGTGTCATTTCTCGTGCATACCTATTAGCCTCTACCAGGCTTGAGGAGGCGGCTAGAAAGAGTAGAAATCGGCCAAAATAGAGAGATAAGCATGCCAAGGGAGTTTGGCCGTTGAGAGAAC